TATATTATATTTCTGTGTTTGAAAGTTTGTCTTTTCAAAATGTCGCATTCAAGTGTAATTTAGGTGTGCTATATTGGTCAATGCAATGGAAGATGCTCTCCCTTCTCTCTAGCTCTCTCTCTCTACAACCTTCATCTTTCTTTCTCCACCTCCACTCCTTCTCCTCCTTTTATTTCCCGGCCACCACCACCAGCTAGCCCTTGCTGGTGCCCGTCGATGCCGGCGGGGAGCAGCCCTGTCCCCGGGGCCTCAGCCTCGGCCATCCCCCTTCACCTTTCTCTTCCGCCTTCTCTCTATGGCTCCACACAGACCAGAGATCTCGACCCCCATGACGCTTCGTCCGTTCCTCAACCAACTTCCGGTGTCATCCATGGTAGAATCAACTTTTGGACTCTCACCCTAAAAAAAGTCATCAAATCGGCCTTCCAGCAGGCTGAGGCTTTCAGCCTCCCTCGAGCAGGTGGTCTGCCGCTTTCTGACAGATCCCACCCCGGCGACACACCACCGCCTGAAGGGCCACCGTTACCTGCTGCTGCTCTGCCATTCGCGGCTGTTTCCTACCCCGAAGCCTCCGCCCCAGCTAACATCCCCGGATCACCTTTCGGTCAGAAAGTCGGCATCCCATGGCCAGTACGTTTTGGATCTCTCACGGCGAGAAAAACCTCCCCTCCGTCAGACGTTTCTCCCCTCACGGTGCCTGAAATTCTCCACCATCCAACCTCTTCTCTCCGATCGGGCCAGAAAATCTCCACTAACCAAACCTTATCCTCTCTCCAGATTTCCCCTCAGCTCACCCCTCTGTGGGTCGGACTTTTGGGCCACCAATAGGCCCAACCTCTGATATCCCATTAGGGCCCAATCCCCAGCATACTTCCATCGGGCCCGATCAACAGCCTCGACCCCAGTCTGGCAGCAAACCATTGGCACCTCAAACGACGGCAGGCACCTCCTTAGCCCCACCGATGTCGGCCGGCGGTCCACCCTTCGGCACCGGCGCCGGTGCCGACCACCCCCAGACAGACGGACATCTAAATATCTCCCATTCTCTTGTCGGCTCATCTCTCGCCTCGTCGATTGTCGTCTTGCCGGAGCCCATTCAATCCGGCCAAGCCACCACAGAGCTCGGACCCCTCTCTAACGCCAGCATTGGTTTAACATCTTCGCAAACGGCAAGCTTATTGGGCCGCGGTCCACCTACGAGCTTGGCCGCCCCTCATACGGCGAACCCGACCCAGGGCCCCCATCCAACTGGACCACGTTCTTTTCGTGATGCGGTTTCTTCCACTGCCAAACCGGGCCAGCAGAGGTTGATGTTGGAGTCATTTCGGGACAAACAAAGCGGGACCGTTTCTCGTTCCGAGGTGGGCAGGTTAAAGGTGAGTTTCCCTGAGCCCACTGTTTATTCCCTAGTTGGGTCGTTTGATAATGCTCTTATCTTAAAGTTTTCCTTCACTGTCCCCTCCCTCTGGGATCTATCTATCGGTCTGGTCAAATTGGGTTTCAAGGGTACATTGTCCCCTAAGTTTCTCAATTATAATCATTATTGTCTATTCTTTGAGTCGAAAGAGGATCACAACTCTGTCTGGATGAAGACGCATCTTAATATCTTCGGATGCTCTGGTCGGGTGTTCAAGTATACCCCGAATTTCTCCTTTGTTGAAGAATCTCCTATCGTCCGGTGTGGTGTTGCCTCCAGACCTCATACCACATCTTTTCGACCCCTCTGCTCTATTCTCGATTGCCATCTGCATTAGCAATCCTATTAAGGCTAACGCCGCTATGGCAAACCGCTCGAAATTATCCGTTACACGGGTGTGCGTGGAGATTGATCTCAGGACGAGCTTATCAAGGACATTGAGCTCGACCAAGCGGGCAAGACCACTATCCAGAAAGTGGTCTATGAGAGAGTTCCTCTGTTTTGCACCCTATGCAATCATGTAGGACATGGGGCTGTAGATTGCTACACCAGGGGCAACAAGCCCAGGCCTGCTTTGCCTCCTTGACACCGCGTAGCGAGGCAGGGCCCTACTGCTGCCCCATGGAGCCCTAAGAATAAGTGCAAAGCCCCTGCCCACAGCCCCGAGTCCCCGAAGGGAGAAATGGGTAAGGGCAAGGCCACATCAGAGGCTATTCGACCCAAGAAGGTTAACCTGGATAGGCCTAAAGCCAAAGCCACATGACTTTTTCCCCATCATTTCCTACAGTCAGCACCCATGGCTATCCACTCCCGCTTCTCTGTGCTTGACACGGAGACGGAGGAGGAGTTATATGCTCTCTCCCTATTTTATCGTCTAAGACTGCTTCTCTCCCACATCCACCAGCTCGATCCCTTCAGGACCTTCCTTCCTCCTCATCCCCACAGGACCAGACATAGAGCCCGACTGGTTCGGAGCCCCTGCAGCTTGACTACCCTTCTTCGGAGCCCCTACAGCTCGACCATCCTTCTTTGGAGCTATCTCCGACGCGAGAGGGCCCGGCCCAGGAGAGCCCAGACCACCAGAGACCACAGACCAGATCAAAGACTGCGGAGCGCTCGACTAGCCGAGTATTATCTCTACCAGACATACAGACACGGCCTAACCACGGACAGATCCAGTTAGGTGGCACCACTGACGTTTGACATGTCAGTTACATTGCTAACTTGGAATGCCCGTGGTCTGGCTAATAGGACCACCCTTGCTCACGTTCGATCTCTCATCCGTGATCATAACCTTGACTTTGCGGGCTTCTTAGAGCCTATGACTCACGACCCCTCCTTTAATGTAAACTCGTGCCTCCTTGGCTTCCATGCTAGGGTGGGCAACATCTCTAATAAGATTTGGTTCTTCTACTCACGTGACTTTACCTGCCAGATCATCCGAGATACTGACCAGGTTTTGCACGTGAAGCTCTCCGCCACCCACCTTCCGAAGCCAATCTTCCACACCTTGGTTTACGCCAGTTGTGCGAGGGTTGGTCTCTACGATCTCTGGGACACCATGCGTGAGCTTGCCGAGAGTATGGAGGGATTACCGTGGACGATTAGCAGTGATTTTAACATATTTTTGCATCCCGATGAACGTATCATTGGCCTATCAGACCGCTCGGCGGAGATCTTAGATTTCTCGAACGCCGTGGTGGATTGTGAGTTAATCAATGCTGGATATGAAGGCTCACCTTTTACGTGGGAGAGGGACGGAGTCCAGGAGAGGCTCGACCGTGCTTTATACTCAGAGGCATGGCCGAGAGTGTTTGCGACCACGGTAGTAACACATCTCCCTCGATTTGGATCCGATCACGCCCCCTTATGATCTGGTGTCGGTTCTCTAACTCCCCACGCCGCTCTTCCTTTCGGTTCTAGAACATGTGGGTCCGTCACCACTCTTTTAACAACATGGTTAGGACTTGTTGGCAACAGACTACGCACCTCTATGGGATGCACAACCTGGAGGAGAAGCTCATGAGACTCCGACGCGTTTTGAAGCAGTGGAACTGGACAACTTTTGGCGACATTACTCAGCGCCTTACTGCAGCTCAGACTGCGTATACGGAGGCTGAACGGAACTATGATCTGGACCCTTCACCAGAGAATAGGTCTGAGATGCGCCGCTTCCATGCTGAGTACCAGTTGCGCCTCCTCATGGAGGAAGATTTCTGGAAGCAGAAGGCTGCTGTGCGCTGGGTGGCTGAGGGGGAACGTAATACAAAGTTCTTCCAGGGGTTTGTGAGACAGAAGAAGGTCAAGTCGTATATCCATAGTATAGAGGATAACGGGTCATTCATGACCCAGGAGTACGGGAGTCGGCTAAGGCTTACTTCTCCTCCCTCTTTTCCTCTGAGTGGGATTTGCTTACGCACCCCAACCCTGCCCGATTTCTGACCATCACAGTCGGTCAACCTTATAGGCCTCTGTGACCTCCCGAGTAAGAAGGAGGTCCGGGAGGCTATGTTTGGAATTGATCCCAATAGTGTCTCTGGCCCGGATGGCTTTTCATCCCTCTTCTTCCAGTCATGCTGGGAGATTGTGGGAACTGACGTAGAGGAAGCTGTAATGTAAATTTTCTCTGGCCACCAGATGCCAGAGTCCTTCACAACGACCTCCATCATTTTTATCCCTAAGAGACCCGGACCGAGCTCCTGGTCCGAATATAGACCTATCAGTTTATGTAATGTAACTAACAAGCTCATCTCTAGGATCCTTAACGGGCGTCTCACCCCTCTCCTCCCTTCCCTTGTCTCTCAAACCAGAGTGGATTCATCAAGGATCGAGTCATCAGTGATAATATCCTTTTGGCTCAAGAGATGATTCATGATATCTCTCATGCAAATCGAACACGAACCCTGAACCTCGTGCTGAAGCTAGACATGGCCAAGGCATATGATAGGGTCGAGTGGTCGCTTCTCAGGGAGGTACTATTTCAGATGGGATTTCCCCACCGCTGGATTAGTTTTGTGGAGGCGTGTGTGGAGCACTGCACGTTCTCCGTATTGATTAACGGTAGTGTAACGCCCCATTTGTTCAGTATTATTTTGAGAATATTTATTTTTTTCATTCGAGATTATTTAATTCGTGCTCGTTTGATATTATATTTGATTATGTGATAATAATTGCTTTAGTGTATTAATATTAAATCGAGTCGAATTATTTATCCATTTAAAGGGTGCATTGAGAATCGTGTCTTTTCGGGTCTTAATCGAGCGTCGATCATAACCGAAATTCCTAGCCGAATCATCCGTACTCGATCTCCCGCCCGTTCCGAGTCCTTTGTATTCATGGCCTTTAATTTGAATTTTGAAATTCAATTTTGGTAACTCCTTGTTTCAAAATCAGCCATTTTAAATCCTAATTAAGAGTATCCTTGACCCATTTAATTAGATTAATTATTATTAATTAGCCTTAATTATCTTCTCTCTCCCTTAATCCCTCCCTCTCCCTTAATCTCTCTTCCACAATTATAGGAAAAGCATATTTTCCTCTTCTTCTCTTATCACCATCTTTCCCGCAGCGCCATCATCTTTCGCCGGCGTGAACCACCGAGCCTGCCATCGCCGAGCACGCGGGACTCCATCGACTCGCAGCAGCAACCCAGGCAAGTGAACCAATCCAGCGAACAACCGCTCTCAGTCCCGATCGCGAGCTTCCCGGTGCACAGATTTCTGGTGAGTCCTCTGTCCTCAGCCACGCGCCGCGACCTCTGGCACCCTCCAACGCCGCGCAGCATCCCAGGCCGTCGTCCTTCAGTCCGCAGCAGCCCGACGCTGCCACAACAGACTCATCGGCGAGTCCCTTCAGTTCGCCACCACGAGCAGTCGACTGCGTGAACAGGCTCTCCGGCATTCACGAAACCGACGTGCAGTCCCGACATTTTGCTGACGTGATTCTGCTACCCACCGCTGGCCGCCATCTTTGCTAGCGTAGTCGTGTGCCGTCAACTTTTGTCACAACGAGCACATAGCCGCTGTAATATCCCATTCAGTTATTAGTAATAAGTATCAGTTTATTTCCAAGATTGAGCTATTTTGAGGCTTAAAAAGTTAAAATTTTTAAGTTTTTAAGTCACATGGGTCGTGTGGGTAGCCACACTGGTCGTGTGAAGTCACACTGGTCGCGTGACAAGCCACACGGGTCGTGTGGCTCAAGGCACTATTCAAGTTTAGCTTCATTTTTTTCACACGGGTCGTGTGACTTAAGTGACACGGGTCGTGTGAGTTCACACGGGTCGTGTGACTAAAGTGACACGGGTCGTGTGGCGTCACACGGGTCGTGTGACTTGTGACACTGGTCGTGTGACCGACAAAATTTTAGATTTTTATGATTCGAGTTTGATGTCAACTAAAGTGTATTTTGAGCAATTAAATATGCTTAGTAAAAATTTGAAATGTTTGGTAAGGACTTGTTTAAGTGATTAATTTTTACAAGTTTAAATTGTTTAATTTGTTAATTTCTTCACTCCAAATATTTTATTCCAAAGTTTTGGCTATAAATAGAGGCTTCAAAAATCAGATTTTTACACCAAAGTAAAGTATCAAAGTTATATTGAGAGTTTAAGTGAGGAGAAGTATTTTGGAGAAAAGGATTTTCAAGATATTCAAGTTCATATTCAAGTTCATATCAAGTCTTTCAAATTTCAAGTCCTTGAAGGAGGTAATTCATGCTTGTATTTGATGATTGAATCATGTTATTAGCAAAGCATGATTAGTATAAGTGATTCTTGTTAGAATTTAAGTATTTGATATCATGCATGAGTTATAAGTTGAGTAATGATTTAGTTTATGTTGGCATAATAGTATCCATTTCATGTTATTGATATGAGTTATCATGATGAGAAGTTGATAAAGTTATAAGTTGATAGCTTAATATGATGTGTTATTCATGTTAAGTGTAAGAGTATGAGTTTCACATTTGATGATGAGTAAATTGATAAGTTTAGCATCAAAATGTTGATAAGCATGCAATTTATAAATTGTGCAAGTTTAGCTTTAACATGTTGAGTAAACATGTTAATATCATAATTTAATGTTATGATTGAGTTATAAGGATGAGCAAGTTTAATTGTTATAAATCATGAGTTAAGTTTGATGTTGGTAAGTTGAATATTTTGAGTTATGTATGTGAGTTTGAGTTATTTCACTTACAAGTTTTGTAAGCCAACATCTAAGTAATAAGGCATGATTTATATGAGTTGAGTTTTATCTTTGGAGGAAGTTCATCAAGAGTTTGATTTATTCAATGTATTATGATATTTGAGCTATGGTTTGTATATTAATCGGATAAGTTATCAGTTAAAGATTATTCGAGCATAGTACTTAGTATTCTTGCTTATATTTTTTATGTAGCGTGAGAAGTTCGACTACAAGAAAGGCACTTTCAATTTTCAAAACAGTTTTTAAGACGAAAGGTGGGAACCCAGACTGGGTAGTACATTGAGTATAATAGCAAGATCATGTTCAAAGGTATGTATATGAGTTAAAGTTATGCTTGGGGTGGAGGCGCAGTAGCCTTAATAAACCATCCTAAGTAAGTTAAAGACTCGCCCAGTCCAGACTGGGTTTTGGGGAGGCAGCCCCCAATATGTGATCACGTGAGAACCGACAGTACGGTAGTTGCAAAGTTTAGTTAAAGTTACCGGACCATTGTCCGGGAGAAGCTTATATATACCTGTGATCATGATATTGATATTATTATTAATGTTTACTTTAGTATGAGTTTTTACGGAGTACAGTTGATTAGTCCTCACGTCCCACTATTATCATTTTCAGGTAACATGGTCGGGCCGAGGGTGTCAGTCAAGCTGTTGTGGTGTCGGTTGTGCTTTCAGTTGTGCTTTCAGTTGTGCATTCAGTTGTGCATTCAGTTGTGAGTTTATTAAAGTTTGATTGTGAAATTCAATAAGGCATCAGTTTGTAAATGCCTCGCTTAAAGACTTCAGCTATGTTTATTAAATTTGAACTTGTGTGATTTGAAGTTTGATAATTAAGTAAAGTTTTTGTTTATTATTATAAATGAGTTTAGTTTCACACTTGTTTAAAATGTTAAATCTGTTTTATCGAGTTTAAGAAAACAGATTTTCAAAGAAGTTAAGTTTTAGTAACATTCCGAGTTAAGAATATTTCGAAAAAGTTATAAGTATGTTTCGAAATAAGTTGCGAAAAATTTACTCTGATGAGCGGGGTGTTACAGTTGGTAATAGAGCCAAAGTCTAAACGCTCTGTATACTAAAAGTTTAAGTTTTGAGAAAGAAAGTTTCAGGAAAACCGACCGCACCACACTCACACCTCGCCGACTACCAGGTAAGTGTTGTTAAGAGTTTTTATGAAATTTTAATATATGCAAATTACTAAGTCTATGCTCAATAAGAATCAGATGTCTGAATTTTATCAAAATAGATGCACAATAAACATAGTATTTTGCTAGTATTTTTCTAAGTGTGCTAAAAGATTATCTTTTACGATAAATTTTAGATGGCACCTCTAGCTAGAAGAGAATTGACGACCTTAGAAGTCGTTGCCCAGTTCCGGGGATTCAATGCTGAGAAATTCTCAGGGCAAGGAGATCCTCGTTTAGTCGAGGAGTGGATTCAGGGTCTGGAATCTATTTTCGAGATCACTGAATACACAGACAGACACCGTATTCTCTGTGCACAACTTCAGATGACTGGAGATGCAAGACTATGGTGGAACTCTTACTGGGGCATGCGTCCTGGTGAAAAGAAGCATCTCACTTGGATCCAGTTCAAAAAGATGCTAGAAGAAAAGTACTATCCAGCTCATTACCGTGCTGAGATGGAACGCCAATTCCTGGCGTTAGTCCAAGGTAATCGCTCTGTGGGCGAATACGAGCGAGAGTTTACCAGATTGGGATCTTTTGTCAGTTATTTGATAGACACGGAGGCCAAGGAAGCAAGGCGCTTCCAAGAAGGGTTACTACCAGTAATCCGTCACCATGTAGCCGGGCATTGCATTCAGACCTATGCTGAAGTTGTGACCAAGGATCAAGAAGTGGATGCGAGTTTGAGGAGATGGCCAAGTTCAAGTGCCGCCACTTCTTCAAGTTCCAGTCAGTTCCCCAGTGCAGCCCATGCCTGACCAACCAGCAAAGAACAAACTCAAGAACAAGAGAAAGTTTAAGGGCCCTCAGAATAACCAAAGGCAGCCAACTCCAGCTAACTGACTACCAGTTTGTGGCACGTGTGGACGTGCTCATCGTGGAGAGTGCCTAGCAGGGCAGAATGTCTGCTATAATTGCAGGAAGCCGGGGCATATGACCAAGGAATGTCCAGACAGGCAGCAGCCTCAACCTTAGGCTCAGCCTCAGCAGTAGAGACGAGCGGGGCATCAAGCTCAAGTATATGCTGTGGACCAGGGTCAGGCAGAGGAGAACCCAGGTACCATGTCTGGGATGATTATTTTAAATGATATTCCTATTTTTGCATTGTTTGACACGGGAGCATCGCATTCTTTCGTGTCAAAACGATGTATAGAAGCCATAGGAGTTCAACTCCTTGACACTGTTGATCCTCTTAAGGTAAGTTTAGCCTCAGGACAGAAAATAGTGACGAGTTCTAAGGCGGAAAACCTTAGACTCAATATTGGGGGGTGAATCTTGGAGGTCGGCGCGGACGTCATCGAGATGAGGGATTTTAACCTCATACTCGGTATGGATTGGTTAACACGTTACCGTGTTGATATTTGTTGTCATGACCGAGAGGTAATTCTTTATCTTTCGGAGGAGGATCAAATTTCTTTCTACGGCTCAAAGACGCGAACGTTGCCTCGGGTAATTTCTATGGCGAAGGCAAGGAAGATTATAAGACTGGAGGATTGTCAAGGATATTTGGTGAGTATTGTTGATGAAAATTCGAGAGCACAAACACCTCATGATGTTCCAATTGTTCGTGAGTTTGTGGATGTGTTCCCGGACCAATTACCAGGAAGACCACCCAACAGGCAAGTGGAGTTCACAATCGATCTTGTTCCTGGAGCAGCGCCTGTGTCAAAGGCACCATATCGGATGACACCAAAAGAATTGCAAGAGTTAAAAACTCAAATTCAAGAGTTGTTGAAACTTGGTTTCATTAGACCAAGTGTTTCGCCTTGGGGAGCACCTGTATTGTTTGTCAAGAAGAAGGATGGTTCCATGAGAATGTGTATCGATTATCGGGATTTTAAACCGGTTAACGATAAAGAATAAATATCCGTTCCCAAGGATAGATGATTTGTTTGATCAGTTGAGAGGGGCTTGCGTATTTTCAAAGATAGATTTACGCTCAGGCTATCATCAACTGAAGATTAAGGAATCTGACATAGCTAAAACTGCGTTTCGGACAAGATACATTCACTACGAGTTTGTGGTGATGCCGTTTGGGGTATGTAATGCACCAGCGGTGTTCATGGACTTGATGAACCGTGTTTTCCACAAGTATTTAGATCAATTTTTCATTGTTTTTATTGATGATATTTTGGTCTACTCCAAGAGTCAAGAAGAGCATGAGCAACATCTAAGGGTTGTTCTCAGTACCCTTAGAAAGGAGAAGTTGTATGCCAAATTCTCTAAGTGTGAGTTTTGGCTGAAGAAAGTGGCATTCTTAGGCCATATTATCACTGAGAGAGGTGTAGAAGTGGATCCAACAAAGATAGCTGCAATTCAGAATTGGTCAGTACCAAAGAACCCATCAGAAGTTCGAAGTTTTCTCGGATTAGTAGGTTATTATCGTAGATTTATCGAAGGGTTTTCAACGATTGCTCTCCCTTTGACAAATTTAACGAGAAAATCTGTGAAGTTCGAGTGGTCCGATCGTTGTGAGAAGAGTTTTCAAGAGCTTAAGAAGAAGCTTACATCAACACCAGTATTGATTATTCCTGATCCTACTAGAAGTTTTACTATTTATAGTGATGCTTCTAAAAGGGGTCTTGGATGTGTACTCATGCAAGATGGTCAAGTTGTTGCATATGCTTTGCGACAAACCGCATGAGCAGAATTATCCAACTCATGATTTAGAGTTGGCAGCGGTAGTGCACGCACTCAAAATTTGGAGACATTATCTCTATGGTGGCCATGTGAAATATTCACTGATCACAAGAGTTTGCAATATATATTCACTCAGAAGGAGCTCAATATGCGCCAAAGAAGATGGTTGGAGCTTGTGAAGGATTATGATTGCACCATCCAATATCATCTGGGGAAGGCGAATGTGGTAGCAGATGCTCTAAGTCGTAAAGTGAAGGGTGGATTGGCACATTGTATCACTCAGCAGAATCAACTTATTAATGAGTTTGCTCGGATGCAGATTGAAGTTGTCAAGACACTTCCTAAGGAGGTTACTGGAAGGGTTAACTCAATGAGAGTTCAGCCCATGCTGAGAGAAAGAATTCGGTAGGAGCAATCTTTCGATCAATTTGTTCGGAAGATGGAAGAAAAAGTTCAAGTTGGAGGAGTAGAAGGTTTTTATCGAGGTTCCAATGGAGCATTGGAGTTCAGAGGAAGGATTGTTGTGCCAAAGGTCGAGGCTTTGCGAAAGAAAATCTTGTCAGAAGCACATAGTGCACCATATTTAGCTCACCCTGGAAGCACCAAAATGTATCATGACTTGAAAAAGTCATTTTGGTGGAAAGGAATGAAGAGAGATGCAGCAGATTTTGTGAAGAAATGTTTGGTCTGTCAGCAAGTTAAGGCCGAGCATCGGAGTCCATTAGGTCTGTTGCAACCAATAGAGATTCCTAAATGGAAGTGGGAAGAAGTTACCATGGATTTTGTTACAGGGCTACCTAAGTCATCAGAACAACATGACGCGATTTGGGTAGTAGTAGACAGGTTGACGAAAGTCGCTCGTTTTATGCCTGTAGCAATGACCATGTCAATGGACAAGTTAGCTGAAATTTATACTCGTGGAATTATTCGACTCCATGGAGTGCCTGTTACAATAATATCTGATCGAGATCCCAGATTCACTAGTAAATTTTGGGAAAGTTTGCATAAGGCAATGGGCACGAAGTTAAGTTTCAGTTCGGCTTATCATCCAGAGACCGATGGCCAGTCAGAGAGGACGATCCAGATGCTTGAAGATATGCTCAGAGCTTGTATTCTGGATAGAGGTTCCAAGTGGGAGAAGTGGTTGCCGTTAGTAGAATTTGCATACAACAACAGCTATCATTCATCAATTCGGATGGCTCCTTACGAGGCACTTTATGGCCGCAAGTGTCGTTCACCTCTTTATTGGGATGATGTTGGAGAAAAGCAAGTACTTGGCCCGAAGATGATCGAAGAAACTGTTGAACAAGTAGCCTGGATTCGAGAAAGGCTCAAGACTGCTCAAAGTCGGCAAAAATCTTCAGCTGACAAGCATAGACGAGATATGCAATTTGAGGTGGGAGATAAAGTTTTCTTAAAAGTTCGACCCATGAGAGGGGTTATTCGTTTTGGGAGGAAAGGAAGGTTGCATCCTCGCTATATTGGTCCGTTCGAAGTTCTTGAACGAGTAGGAGAAGTATCTTATCGATTAGCTTTACCTCCTGAGTTGGCAAGCGTGCATAATGTTTTTCATGTATCGATGTTACGTGCATATGTGTGCGATCCAGACCATGTACTTCAGCATAATGAGATACAAATTCAACCAGATTTGACTTACGAGGAGCGGCCTATAGCAGTATTGGACCGAAAGGTTCAAAGTCTTAGGAAACGAGATGTTCCCCTCGTTCGTATGAAATGGAATCGCCACGGAGATTCAGATGCCACTTGGGAGCAAGAAGCTGATATTAGAGCTCGATTTCCAGATTTCGAGTTTTGATGTCAGGTATGTTTTTAGTTTCAGTATTCAATTTCAGTATTTCCGAGGACGGAAATAGTTTTAAGGGGGGTAGAATGTAATATCCCATTCCGTTATTAGTAATAAGTATCAGTTTATTTCCAAGATTGATCTATTTTGAGGCTTAAAAAGTTAAAATTTTAAAGTTTTTAAGTCACACGGGTCGTGTGGGTAGCCACACTGGTCGTGTGAAGTCACACTGGTCGTGTGACAAGCCACACGGGTCGTGTGGCTCAAGGCACTATTCAAGTTTAGCTTCCTTTTTTTCACACGGGTCGTGTGACTTAAGTGACACTGGTCGTGTGAGTTCACATGGGTCGTGTGACTAAAGTGACACGGGTCGTGTGGCGTCACACGGGTCGTGTGACTAGTGACACTGGTCGTGTGACCGACAAAATTTCAAATTTTTATGATTCGAGTTTGATGCCAACTAAAGTGTATTTTGAGCAATTAAATATGCTTAGCTAAAAATTTGAAATGTTTGGTAAGGACTTGTTTAAGTGATTAATTTTTACAAGTTTAAATTGTTTAATTTGTTAATTTCTTCACTCCAAATATTTTATTCCAAAGTTTTGGCTATAAATAGAGGCTTCAAAAATCAGATTTTTACACCAAAGTAAAGTATCAAAGTTATATTGAGAGTTTAAGTGAGGCGAAGTATTTTGGAGTAAAGGATTTTCAAGATATTCAAGTTCATATTCAAGTTCATATCAAGTCTTTCAAATTTCAAGTCCTTGAAGGAGGTAATTCATGCTTGTATTTGATGATTAAATCATGTTATTAGCAAAGCATGATTAGTATAAGTGATTCTTGTTAGAATTTAAGTATTTGATATCATGCATGAGTTATAAGTTGAGTAATGATTTAGTTTATGTTGGCATAATAGTATCCATTTCATTTATTGATATGAGTTATCATGATGAGAAGTTGATAAAGTTATAAGTTGATAGCTTAATATGATGTGTTATTCATGTTAAGTGTAAGAGTATGAGTTTCACATTTGATGATGAGTAAATTGATAAGTTTAGCATCAAAATGTTGATAAGCATGCAATTTATAAATTGTGCAAGTTTAGCTTTAACATGTTGAGTAAACATGTTAATATCATAATTTAATGTTATGATTGAGTTATAAGGATGAGCAAGTTTAATTGTTATAAATCATGAGTTAAGTTTGATGTTGGTAAGTTGAATATGTTGAGTTATGTATGTGAGTTTGAGTTATTTCACTTACAAGTTTTGTAAGCCAACATCTAAGTA